TAGTAGGAAAAAAATTTATTTGCAACATTTGTTCATCTTGGAAATGGGGTTAATGAACTTCTAAAGATCTGACTTGGAAGAAATTCCAGGTGTAAAAATAGTTCATAATAATAATAATAACGCACACACTCAACATATCTCCGCAATAGGGAAACCCTGTGTCGCGGGTACCATGGACACACATAGACAACCATATATTACACCCAAACTCACGAGAGAAATAAATGTACCCATACAAATATTTCTTCCGGCCCGGGAATCGAACCTGGAACCTCTGTGTGGCAGTCCGGCAAGGCAACCGTTCGGCCACAAAGGCAGTTATACTAATGAGATAAATTTGACATTTTAAGGTTACAATTGTTCCACGTGGAACCGAGTACATGGAACTACTGGGAATAAACGCTTTTTTCCGCCGCCATTTTGTTTTGGAGGAAAAATTGATAACTTTATTTGATGGAATGAAAAATGTAAAGAAAAAGGATCGCATTTATTATACACCACGAGGTGACTAAATTTGTAGAATAAATTAATACAAAATGTTTAGTAATTATCAATTATTTTTTAATTATTTCGATTCAAAGTTATATACCTCAGAATTGGCCACCCTGTACTTCAGATACTAACATTATAGTATGTACCTACCGGTTATTGATTTACTTAAACATAATACCTATATGGATTAACTCCAATGAGAACAAAACAAACGACAAGAAATTAAAATTCATAAAAGACCGCAAGTGCCTAAAGTATGATAACCACAGCTTATATGCTCTACAGTAAGCTAAATTAACTCCACGCTCAGTGCGGAGAAATCATCATTATAACATCGTAATTAATAGATTTTTTTGTGTAAAAGCGAGGAACGCCTGATCACAATCTCACTTAATGTTAAACGACGATAAGGCTGCTGATGTTAGTTGTAAAAATGCCTTTTCATTCTAGCCTTAAGAGTCAATACAACCTCACAACCTCACAACCTCACATCTACTTAGTACAACAATAGTGTTGACCAGCTTTGTGGTCGCATAATTATTAATTGCTAAGATTTTATTTTTAATTAATTTTATTTAGTTTTCTTTTTTGTTATTCATTTTCTGTTTGTTTTAATTTAGTTTGTTTTAGTTTTAATTTAGTTCTGTTTTATTTTTATTTTTTTTTTACTTTTTATTTTTTACTGTTTATTATTGTGTTGTGGTGTTATGTAATAAATGTATTCTATTCTATTCTATTCTATTCTAAATGACTTTGATCGATTCCGCATAACGAACCAATCACAATATATAGTAAAATTCAGGATAATATACACTAATTAGTATACGTGTGAAAACGCCTTTTCTAAAAATTTAACTATAGGAGAAACAAACTTACTTCGAAATTTTACAAGAAAACCGCTATATTCAATAGGTACACATATCGCACTGCCAATACAATAGTGTTGTAACTCAAAATATGTGAATTTTAAGATTCTATCATTACTGAACGTAAAATTTGATTCTCTACACGTCGATAAAACCTTCGTGAGAATATTGTAAAAATCAACCAAAATATATCTACTTATCTCAAAATGAGATATGCTTTATGTGAGCTAGTTCTGGCAGAAAAAGCCCTTATTAAAGTGAAAATATGAAATTATAGTTAAATGTATTTCCTTCTTTTATTCTTAAATGTATTTGCAAGTAGGAAATTGTTTAAATTTCTATAATAAAGTATAACCTATACATCAATTTTAATGATCTTTCACGGGAAGTGAGTAATTAGTTTTTCATCGATTCTCAGAAAATATACTTTTTGAATTAATACATTATTGTGTTAATAGTGCGATATATTTTTTGTGAAAATACTACATTAGAAAAATTTCGTCGCTCTGACTGTATTCGAACCAACGTCAGTTTGCCACCGGGGCTACCGGTCTTAACCAAGTTGAACTACAGACCGAGTAAGCTAATCTTACGTATTTCTCTTAGCATTTGTTACAAATGTTTGAATTGAATTATAGAATTATTTTCTGATGACCTCCGTGGTCGAGTGGCTTGCTCACCAGTTCTCATGTCAGGTCAACGTCGAAAAACTTTTCTATGTTGTCTCGAGTTTGTTATTCGTGGTATCGTCGTTGTATCACATGTTAATAACACAAAAGCTTTAGTTACTTACTTTGCGTGTGTAAAAAAAAAAACAGTGGTGTGTACTTTTACTCCCCATCCTAGCTCCCAATTACAATAATCCCTATCCCCGTTAACAACCACCACGAAAATAAAAGCGTGGCCACAGATAAGCCTATCCTAGAGAATTTAAGTTAATAGGATTCGCTATCCAGATCTCTGAGTACCGCTGAAGCAAACTATTCCGCTCTCGGCTGCTTCTGTCGCCAATCGAATGTCAGATTTCAATTTAGATTACCCTTTAAACATGCAGCGTAAAAGCTTATCTAACAAGTACACCTGTTAAACCGAAAATAATTTATGATACCTATGCCCGTTTACATTTGAATTGCCTCGAATCTCCCCACTTGAATTTGACTGCAGTGGTATAATGTCCTTGTGGGAGTTCCGTGCACTTCCAGTAATAGCAGCGGTGTAGTGATATTATGTTGACAGGAATTTGCCACTTATTACTGCGTTTTGTTATTTGCGACTCTTAATTGAGGGAATGACGGTTCAAATTCCTGTGGCTTCATGAACTTAGATACGTTTGTGATAATTATATTTAAGCATCTATAATGAGATTCCGATTGATATTCACAAGAAGGATGGCGAAAGTTGAGCCAAAATTATGAAATCAACGAAAAACCGTTCATCGACTTGCTAGTATAATTTTATTTTTTAGTTTATGCCTAGTTATCAATATATTTTTTGTTTATTTTTACAAGTCCGGAAAAAAAATTGTAAAACAATGTATTTTAGAATAAATTCAAGAGCACAACGCAATTAATTCAGTTAGACTAAGTAACGTTCTCGTACGTAAGTTTAGCTACCTAAATTATTGGTTATTTACACACATGTAACAATAAAGCTGTAAAATATCTAATCAAATTATCGATTAAGCAGTAACGATATAAAGTAAAAAATAAAACACAAAGTAACAAAATTTTTTGACAATATTTAAATGTTAAATATTGTCTTGAGTTATGAAAGTTAGTAAAGGAACGTTTTGATAAGAGTGTTAGGGCGCATTTATTCCACACGAATTTTGTCGCGCTCACCCCGCGCGGGGTGCGGTATTTATTTAGCTTTAACTTAAATGAGTGTTCTGGGCGGCGAGACTGGCTCGAATTTGGTCTACGCGCGCTGTTGTATTATTCAGAGGAATTTAAATGTTGTAGCCTAGTAAATAGAATGCAGATTCGCCATTAATGTACACGAAGGCGTGGTAACTGGGCGGTCGCCGCGCGGCGGCCGCGCGAAATCTTTCTCCTCGTGTTACTGGGCGCTGGAAATCCGATGCAAGGTTGCTGCAACTAGGATAGTCTGCAGATTACCCACCTTCTTAATTGTTTACAATCGAATTATCGTTTTTGGGCTCACTAAATTTTTCTCGACGAGTTCTTTGCTTTATTGACTTTTTGAAGTACACTGTTTTGTATCGGGAGCTTTTAAATTTTAATTTAAGTGCTTACTGTTGCGCCCAATTTATACTCGTTTAGTCTGTTGATTATAATTTTTAGCGCATGTTAGTTAATGAACAATATAACTTCTATATGGAGTGCACGAAAGGAGTCACACGACGTACCATTCCTTGCATGTATTGGATTATTGTGTAAATGCAAACTGCGAGTACCTTACGCCCACATAACATTAAATACAGTAGAAGTGGTTAGTTATCTTCCGACGCATACCAACTACAAGTCTCGAAAGACCTATCTGAGCTCCATTTTCGCTTTGTATGGTATGGTTGTGTCATTATTTCGTCCAAATTCTGTAAAATCCTAGAAAAATGCCTTATCCGCTCACGCGATACATGCAGCCGTAGACGCATACCACACCTAGAGGTGCCGGTGATGATTTATCGGATATTGAAGTTATAACAGGTAAAAGAACTAATATTAATTGCTATTTCGGTAACTACTCTAGCAAACCATAAAGTTTTTAATGCCTGGGTCTGTCATTTAAAAAAAATAAACAACTTCAAAAATACGTCACGACAATCGTGTGTGTTATTGTTTGGGCTGGTGATTTCGGTGTTTATTTATTGAAAATATACCGTAAGTAGTTTTTTTTAAGGTTATCCTGAATATAAATGTTTATAAACCATACTTTAAGAAGTAATTTCATGGTAAACGTTAGAACCACTCAATCGGAATATTATCATATTTATCCAAGTACACCAAAAATTTCATTAGTGCTTTTTAAGTGCAGGATTTGCGGTGTATTATTGCATTTTATTTGAGATGTTTTTGTTGGTAATACGGAGGGCATTTATTTAGCAATGCAGAATAATAATTTTTATTTATAAAAACTTGTATTTAAACTGAATGCTTTTCTAATTTGCGAAACCAAATAGCCGCCATTTTGCGGTAGGAGGAGCGAATCGCGTGAGCGGATAACATTAAATACAGTAGAAGGTCTCGGAAGACCTATCTGAGCTACATTTTCGCTTTGTATGGTATGGTTGTGCCATTATTTCGTGCAAATTCTGTAAAATCCAAAAAAATGCCTTATTGTCCTGTTTTGGAGTGCAAAAATGATAGCCGTGGTGGTATTTCGTTTCACCTCAAAGTCTTATTTTAATTCTCATTCTCATTCTCAATTTTCTATCGAAATATTTTTATTGTAAGAAGAAACGAAAGTAAAGCTTATACCACTGCAATATGATCACCTCTTGTTTGGAGAACTAAATTAATAACTCCAATTCATCGTCGTTCAGCAAGGAACCGCTAGATTGCAGTACATTGATTGAAATTTCAATGTAATATCAAAACGACGTAACTTGTACTATCAGGTATCGATGGTATAGAACTTTCAACGATATGCCAACAGGGTTAAGTTTAAATTATCTTAAGGGAACAAAAAATTGTTGACAATTCAGTAATTAAAAAACTACGACCAATCAATATCAAGATTTTATAGTGTTTCAAGTTAAGAGTGAGTTTTGGCGACATTCTTCCATAATCCTTTCACTACGATGGCTTACATTACAGTGTATATCATCGATAAGAAGAAGAAGAAGAAGACTTCTATATATCTGACGTATGATCGGGCACAGTAAAACAATACTTATTGTATTGATTTTCAAACACTTACCTCTGATAATTATGAGGTGGATTATGCATGAGAGGCTGCGTGGGCTGAGCTAGCAGCAGTTGCTTCTGCTGTTGTTGCCGCTGAAGCATCTGTTTGCCGAAGACACCGTAGCCGAAGCCGTAGATCTCATCCTCTTCTTTGTCCGTCAAACAACTTGAAGGCTGGCGGAAAAATGGCCTATGTAAATTTTGTTCAGTAGCAGCAACGCGCCTTATGAAAGAATTTGTCCAGAGACGTACTGCCACCATATTTTAAAAGGGTAAAAGTGCCGGTGAAATTAAAGGCATATGGGGCTTGTTAAACTTATGTCTCAGGGTGACGGGTGCAGTGGTATTTCCCCTCATATCTTTGCGATTAAAGCTTTGTGGCTGTGCAACTGTTAAAGATAGGCGTGTCTTTCACCACCAGGCACAAGACTCATTCGTCCCGTCACATGATATCATTAAAAAATGTAAATAAACACTGAGTATCCAAAACTAAATATCCAATACTAACATGTTAACAGAGTTTTAAACATTTTAACACTATTTAGCAAAAGAGAATCGAATTGTAGCTGCAAATAATTAAAAAAAAATGTTGGTTCTAAATACCTGTCTGTTAAATATCAGTCCCTCGTCTGTTACCTTTAAAAGGGAAATGAAAATTTTGTTACGTACATGAACAAGGGATATCATGACATCATAACTTGCATACTAAACCACATTCATAATTGGATTTCAATATCAGCAAAACTATTCTGCAATGACAACTGAATTCCAGCTACAATTCAATTATCCCTAATTCTCCACTAGCTGAGTTGCCAGTTTCGATTTGGTGTTCATTTTACTCGAGCAATTAGACTTCGTCGACTTTCATTGGATTATTATACGACTGACTTAGTTGCGTACTTTCATTATGAAAAGTTTTGTCACTGTCAAACACAATGAAAAGTGTTGTATAATACACCTAATGTGACAACTACAAGGCATAAAGTGAAGTTATTTACGGGATACTGCGATCCGTGAACGATATGGTTTGAAAGAGGACATAGTGACAAAAACAAAGAAAGATATGTATTTGTGGTGGTTCGGGCACATGAAGCAGATGGTATAGATCCAATATTGGAAGAGTACGGCGCGATGAACGTTTTCGGATAAAATTGATATATAAAAAAGTTATATAGTGCGTAGTGAGAAGAATAACAATAACTGTGTGATACGTTTGATGAAAGTGGGTGAAGCAAGAGAAGTTTGTCATGATCGTGCAAAGTATCAATCAATAGATTCTGCTGATAGTGGAAAACGATACAGGGACACCCTTCAACGGATACGAGTAAATATCTACGAAGTAAATAATACAACCAAGCATAATATTCCGTCGTGCGTTCCCAAAGGTAAATATTTTTCATATTCACGGAACGTATATTGTTTCCCGCAAAGATTACGCGTTCGGAAACATAATATGATACACAATGACAACTTATATTACGACGTCACAAACTTATATTTTCGGAGAAAAAATAAATAAGTAATTGATAACGTACCGAATATTTCCCAGGCACATAAATGGGCTGCGATTGCGAAGTGGTCAGGTTATTCAGTGTTAATGACCCAGGGCTTGCTGAAGGTGGGGTCTGTGGGGTCCCTGGACCCCCTAGGACCCTCATCCTGGGTGACATTTCCTCCCATTCATGTCGCCTTAGCTCTTCTAGATGATCGAGAACGTCACCGTAGTGTGTGGAGAAGAGGTCGGCGTATCTCGATGCCAGTCCTTCTAGGTACCCTCTGTCGCCATCCTGTGAAAAAGAAGATAATTAAATATCAGGTTGCTGTGAAAACGCTGAAAGAATTTGTCAAATCGCGGAATTCCTTGCACTAGGAGTATCAGAGCAGGGAAATTATCTATATGGATGTTAATTTTCTAAATTGACAGATCCAGCAATCGAATCTTCTCACCCTTGCATCAAGGACATTAAAGTTAAAGTTTTTCTGTAAGTTAGTAATACTATGATATTCAGTAATGCGATGTTTTTGAGAAACACAAAACGCAATTATTTGAAATGAAACGTTTCATAGCAAAATCTCACACTTTTTGATTACTATAGTCAGCATAAAACATACTCAATTAACTATAATTGTAAGTGGCATAATATAGAAGTATATCAAAAGCGGCACGATGGTTAGAACTCAAAGTAGGAATAACTCTAGCCAAACATCTTAATGAAACCTGCACGTGGAAGAAGGTTCACAATCCTTAGAAAACGTGTGAATTTCGCAAACCGTATTGTTCTATATTGGTTTACACATTCTTCTTAGAGGAGACCCGTATGAAACAGTAGTACTTATTATAAGGGTTGGTGGTGATGATGATAGTATATAATAATATTTTAAAGGTATAGACATGAGGTATAAAATGAAATTGGCTAATACACCTAATATTATACGTGTAACTTGACACGAGTATGATATAGCATAAATGGCGGACTAAAGCACATAAGTGTAAATCCAACATCATTCATTTAAATTAATACATCTACCGGCTAAAGCACATAAGCCAAATTCGTTTGTTACTCCATAAATTTGTAACTTTATTCTAGAGGCGTCTTTTTTGAATTTATCATTCTCTTCACATCTTCCAACGCTATAAACGACACAAAAAATATATAATTATATATTAACAAATGAAGCACTTTTTTTACTTTTTTTGCTTTAGTCCGCTGACCCTAGAAATATAGTACGATGTAGTATATTATATTATACATAGAAGACATTCATGCACTCACACATACATACACTTATACACATCTTACATACACTAGCATATAGCTCAATCTATTTTTAGTTTGTAAAGTTAAAGACATATCAAATATTTCTCAGGCGCATGAGCTGTGATTGCGAAGTGGTTATGTTATTCAGTGCTAACGACTCAGGGTTTGCTGAAGTTGGGTTCTGTGGGTTCCCTGGACCCCCCAAGGTGATATTTCCTCCCATTTATGTATTCTTAGCTCTTCTAAGTGTTCCATCTTTGTATTAATAAATTATAACAAAATAGTGGAGTCGTTTTACAAAAGTAATTAAATATCATGGTGGTCAAACATCGTCGTACCTGAGTGAAAACTGAGATTCCTCACATACGGCGCTACTTCGAAAAACTCGTTAAAAACCAAAAACGACCAACAAGCACAAAGAAAAACTCGTAAGGTCCGCTACTTCGTTTTGTGGCTTAGTTGGCATAGCGTCTGGTACGATTTGCTGGAAGACGTTGGTTCGAATCCTGCCAGATCGAGGGAATTTTTCTACGTGTTCGATTTTTGTATTAATAATAGTAATATTTAAATTAAGAGCAAATTGTAACTTTCTATACATAATATAGAAGAGCAGTGCCTCCTAACACAGGCCCTGTTAAGCCTGAAAGGAAACATGAGATCCTGAATTAAGATTATATGAGATTAAGAAATAAAACAGTTTTATTTGTTATTTTTTAATTTTATTTTTTTAATAATGTCGAAAATCAGTCATTTGTATCAAAGAAAATCTACAAAAATTCAATCTCTTTCCTGCACTTAAATTTACGGACGCCGCAACATCGAGTTCAGCAAGCAATGTGTTCTTAATTACACTGTAATTTTACAAAGAAAAAATAAAATCGCAATTATCGAATGCCTGGAGACCTATTCGGCTTAGAGCCTTTCCTTCCACGCAATTTCCGCTTGAAAAAGGGGAAGCAAATAGCAAAAACGAGGCAATTAAGATCACCAGTTCAAAATTTATGAACAAGACTTGAAATTACGGATGTTTCCCAATCGCTGCTTCCTTCATATTACGTAATTAAAACGAGTATTAAACATTAAATAAAGATAATAATACATCTTCGTTATTAATTAGTATTTGATAATACATTTATTCACCGATTATGCGGTAAATTGGCCTACAAAATTATCTGTGTTATTTATGTCTTCTTGATTTATAAACCAGTTCTGTCTCACTGCTGAGCAAATGCCTCCCCTCTCTTTTCCCATTGTACTCGGTATTGGGCAGCATCTGGCCTGTCCTTTAAAAAGGAGTCTAAGTCATCTCGCTTTCGCCGACATGATCTACCACGTCTCCTTTTTGAGTTGTGGGCTTCCACTATCAGTCAACTTGACCCACAACTGCAGTCCCACTTCAACTTGGCCGCCTTCCGAGCTACATCGACGATTTTAGTTTAGGTTATGAAATTAAAATAGATGGAATTAAACGTAGCAACTGGAGGTATGTGCAGTCTCCGCATATCAGTTTATATAACTATATCACTAGGTTTCTAAAAAAGTGGCCAAACTCAAAAACATAATTCATCTGGAAGATAGTTCAAAAAAGCTAAGGCGTATCTGGCGCGAAAAGCCGACGAATCGTATTTCGGCCAAATGTTGTCACGTGATGGATTTAAGTAACGGAAAGCTCGGTATGTTATTCACAATAACACGTAGAACCTTTCTAACACTGTTGTGTAATAAAATTCAACTTTCACTTGAGGCAGGACTCTAGAACCGTAGCGATATGTACTAAAATTTTCTCATTAATACGAAGAGATATTTAGGTTGAATGGGCGGTCCCGTATATTTGTACATAAGTTTTGTTTATAGAGACCCTCCCCTATCAACCTCTTTGTTATATGGTGCCTGTGCAAGCACATGGACCTTACGGGTTCAGGTCCTGACTCCAGTTCAGCCTGTGGGCGGGGTTTCCACAGACAATTGCATGAACTTCATCCGGGTCTCAAAAGGATAGTTAGTTCCTCGCGTGAGCAGCTCCGAGTTTACGCACAGTCGTACAAGACCCTCTCTGTTTTCCAGATACGCTCATTTACCATTGTGCATTGCACAATTAAAGGTTTCGACCGCTAAGCTGTTGAATCTAAATTCAAGTACCAACTCTCCTCGCTGGTAATGGAGCTGTAGGCACGGGATCGAGTGAGCAATTTTCTTTTTGTTTTCGTATCGTTGGCAGATACTATCTTATTGCGGCCTAGAACTTAACTACGCTGACTTTGTTATCAGTAGCGGAAAATTAAGTTATTTAGCGTGCAGGTGTTTGGGCACGTAAAGCTATCGTTTTAATGGTGTTGCACAAACAATCCGAATTAGCTTAAGCTGAAAATGTCCATTTGAACAAATTTTTCTCCGGTTAACATGAGTCCGAAACTAGTTTAACCAGATCGATCATGACCAGATGGAAAACTCTCGAATAGCCGGACAAATATGTAAATGAAATATAGACCTAAAAGTAATTTGTATGTTTTTTCCATTTTTCAGGACACTACAGCAAAAGCCGTTTGTATTGATGGGTGAAATAAGCCTTACAAATCTCGCAGACCTTCTGAGGCCCTTATCTGCATAGACCCTGTGTGTTAAGGCTCGATATTCAGTAGAAGTTTGGACAAGTTATGTACATCTTATTGTAAATCATATGAGTAGAAACCGAACTTAACTAACCTAAATAAATAATTATATGGTCCACTAAGTGAACCTAATAGCTTATGGCTAGGCTGTTTTATTATTAAATAGAGACCGATAAAAGTAACTTAATAAATCACCCAAAAATTGTTTAGACGTTTGAAATGGGCTTGACCTTTTCCTTCAGATTTGGATCGCAGTCTCGAATTTACTGTTAATAACCATGTATGAATATTAATTCAAAAAGGGCGAAAGAAATCATAGATATTAACAATATTATGTTTATTAAACATCACGATATTTTACTATCATGATATCCAATTATTTGTGTGTAATTACTCCACCAGTTTGTTATAATTATTAATACGAAGATCCAGTACTGAATTCGAACCAGCATACAGTACCTGACGCTCTCTGAGCAGAACAACTGAGCTACGGAACGAACTAGCAGACCTTACTAATTATTTACGTGCTTGTTGCAGATTTTTGTGATTGGATTCTAACGACTTTTTTGCCGTAGTGCCATCTGAGACAAATCTATGAAAGTTATTCTTCACCTTTACAGCTACCAGCGGCTGACTGGAGTTGTAACTACGGTATTTGTGAACCGATTTCCATGATTCTTTTTTTGCTGGAAAGGGGGTATAGTGGTCCCGTTTCATTTTGAAGAAAATCATCCACCTCGAAGGGTGGCTGTTCACGCATGAAGATTCATTTTCATGAATAGCGCCTAACATTAATTTAGGAGCAATTACTTTAATGGTTGATTTTGCTATTTCTCCAATTCAAGGCGTTTTTCTGTCAATATACTTTGAGTAGTAAGAACCGGTTTTTATTATCTCCAGTGTCAAGTCCTGTATAGTGGCGAACTAGGAGATATTTCAATAAAACTTAGCAAATAGACGTAATTCCACGTACTTCTGAGGTCGGTTTTTTTAGTACTCTGTACTGAGATTATTAAATATCATTATGTTTCACTGCCATGACGTTCAATTATTTTCGTAAAATTACTTCAGTAGTTTTGTTACAAATATTAACACAAAGATCGAACACTGAAAAAAATCCTTTGATTCCTTCAAACCAGAGCCTATTAATAACATTGTAACAAACTGTAACTTACTATTTTGTGCTAGTTTTATTAGAGCTAATTAATTGTGATGTCCTGAATTAGCAAGACTCGATAGTCATGCTAGTTCAGGATATCACAATTAAGACAATTATAATTTCACTTTAGAAACACATACAGTAATTTTAGTTTTTTTTTACGTACAATTAACAACGTCCCCATTACTTTTCTGTCCGACATTTTTAATGAAGTAAACCATTAAATCAAGGGAAAACAAACTGTAATACAAGACATAAGT